TACTTTTAGAGAGGGAGGAGGGAAGGAGAGAAACATCAATGTGTGGTTATCTTTCACATGCCCCTCTCCCACCACCGGGGAACCTTCCTGCAACTCAGGCATGTGCCCCAACTGGGATTTGAACCTGTGACTCTTTGGTTTGCAGGCTGACACTCAATCCACTGACCCACACCAGCTGGGGTGTAAACCTCAACTTTTAAGTCTCATGCCACACCAAAATTTCACTTGAAGTGGATCACAGATCCAAAAAAATGAGGCTAAAACAAAACAAAATAAAAATTTGTTAGAAAAACTGAAGAAAAAAAGTGTATGAACTTGAGGCATGTAAAGGTTTATTAGATGGCACATAAAAGAATGCACTAAAATGAAAAAGTAATTAGATTCTGTCAGAATAAAGGCTTCTGTTCTTCAATAGATAAAATGAAAATACAAGTTGAAAGGAGAAGGTCAGTGCCATTTGCTCACATGGCACCATTTGCTGAGCAGGTCTATGACCTCGTTAAACTGGACTCATGTTTTACTCTCTGCGCTTATGTCCCTAGGGCTGGAATTTACTGGAAAGTAAGAGCAGAACATGACTAACCACTCCCTACAGCTACAGGCAGATGAGGACACTGAAATCAACTGCAGCCTCCTGTTCTGCCCCAACAGCCCAGGGGATACACACAACAGCACCCCACCCTTTTTATTCAATTACAACCCAATAAAAGCTCAAAGGCCCAGCATTCAGGGCTGTTGCATCTCTGGACACCATGACTCTCTCCTTTCTTGGAGAGTGAATAAAAACTTTACACTTTCTTCTCTTTGTGAATTCTTTCACAGCCCACATCACCAACCACCCTAACACAAGTCACATCCTGAGAAAAGTATTAACAGTACATATAACTGATAAGGGAATTGTATCTTGAATGTGATAACTCAGTGATATTTTTCAAAGGGCAATACAGTTTCATTTAAGCATAATTGTCTCCAGTTCCATCCATGCTGTCGCAAAGGGTAGAAGTTCCTTCTTCTTTCTTTCTGCTGCTAGTATTCCATTGTGTAAATGTACCATCGTTTCTTAATTCATTCATCTACTGATGGGCACTTGGCTGTTTCCAACACTTGGCTGTTGTAAATAGCATTGCTGTAGACATGGGGGTGCATAAACATGAGTGAGTGACCCATGGGCGTGGACAATGGGGTGGGGAGGGACTGTAGGAGTGGAAGATGGGGTGGGGTGGAGGAGGGCAACTGTAGTAGAATAGATAAGAATGAAATAAAATTTTAGAGGGGACAATAAAATTGAATAATTCTTTACAAGAGAAGATACATATATAGCCAATAAACATATGAAAATATGCCTAAGCCCTGGCTGGTGTGACTCAGTGGACTGAGCGCTGGCCTGTAAACCAAAGGGTCACTGGTTTGACTCCCCATCAGGGCATATGCCTGGGTTGTGGGCCAGGTCCCTGGTGGGGGGCGTGCAAGAGACAGCCGCACATTGATGTTTCTCCTCCTCTCTTTCTCCTTCCCTTCCTCTCTCTAAAAAAAAAATTAATAATATCTTAAAAGAAAAGACTGACAATAGCAAGTGTTGTCAAGGATGTGGTGCAACTGAAACTCTCACACATTGCTGGTGGCAATATGAATTGTACAATCATTTTATAAAACAATTTTAAAGTATTTTATAAAGTTAAAATTTTAACCATATGTTCCAGCAGTTCCACTTAAAGGTATTTAAGAGAAATGAAAACTTATGTCTATACAAAACTTGCACACACATGTTATTAGAAAGTAAAGCCCCAAACTTGAAATATGCAAATGTCCATCAACAGATGAATCAATGAATTGTGATGTATCCATACAATGAAAAGAATGGGCTACAAATGAAGCTACCATAAAAGAAATGAACTACTAAGGCAAGCAAAAGATGGATGATTGTGAAAATATGTTGAAGGTAGGTAGATGCAAAACTGTACAAAGTGGTTTGGTTTCCTTTCTATGAAACTAGTAAAGACAGACCTAATCTAATTCTAATCTGTAGAGACAAATAGTGAGTGTTTGCCTGAGGTCTGGGGTTGGAAGGAAGGATTGCCTAAGATGAGGCAAAGGGGTATTTTTCTGGGTAATGCAAATGTTCTATATCTGGATTGTCAAGGTAGATTACATAAGTATAGACACATATTTATGACAAATCGATTACTAACAAGAAAGATAATTTAAAAATTAATTTGTCCTCATAGTCAAAGATAAAGTGATGAAATACATAAGATTTTGAATTATGTAAAAATTAGGAAGCCAGCCCTGGCTGGTGTAGCTCAATGGACTGAGCCATAGGCTGAGAACCAAAGAGTTGCTAGTTCGATTCCCAGTCAGGGCACATGCCTGGGTTGCAGGCCAGGTCCCCGGTGGGGAGATGCATAAGAGGCAAACACACATTGATATTTCTCTCCCTCTCTTTATCCTTCCCTTCCCCTCTCTCTAAAAATAACTAAATAAAACCTTTTTTAAAAATTAGGAAGTCACATTTGTTTTCTTAGACAACTCCACATTACAGGAAATGTGAGATAAAACCATTGTATATATTCACATTTAAATAAATCCATGCTTACACAACACTAATCTGTAAAGTTAAATCCCATTTTGAAAAATTGTCCTGAGAGAATCACTGGCCCTAGAACTACTAAAATTTACATTTAGAACTAATTTATCAGAAATTTACCATAATGTTGTCAGAGCTTATAAACTACTCTTAAAGGCCTCAGAACAGTTGCATCACGAGAAAGCGAATTCTAAAAATTAAACGTGACCACAATTATTTGTGACTTGGCATTTTTTAGTAACTGAAAATGGTTGTTGATGTATGTATTTTAATGATACAATAACTTTATAGATGAACAAGCTAGAGAAATCTTATGATCCATCAAGATGTCACATGAATAAAACAATTTTTTGGTTACATTAGAAAAACTTGACACTACAATGGTGGAGCTGGGTCCTCCCCTTTGGTCCTCTCCAATGGCATCCCCGAGGGGGATGGGGGCTTTTCCTTACAGGCAGGTGAGGATGGAAGTCTGGGTTCTTCACTTGATTTTTGCTGGTGGGGTGGGGCCTCAGTTTTGGGTGATATTTGCCTGGAGTCGAGAAATTATTGTCTAAAAGTGCATGTATTTCTAGGCTGCCCCTTTCCTGGTTCTTTAGTTAGAGAACAGACTTTGTGGGGGGGGGAGCAGGCTCAGCTGGTCTCTCAACGGTGTTTCTGAGTTGCTTGCTTTTTCAACTGCATCTCTTGGAGAGACCTAAGGGATATTATACTAAGGGAAGTAAAGTCAGACAGAGAAAGACAACTATCCAACACTTTTTAGCTTAAAAATAAAACCCTAGAAGTAAGTCAGTAAAATTTCAGTAGTTGTGGGCTTTCTGTTTTCAGTTTATAGAAACTTTAAAGGTTAAGAAGTGATATTTGTAGAGAGAAAGGCTGCTCAGATGGCCTTGCTGTTAGGTTGTATGTGTGTGTTTCAGCTCTTATGTACAAACATATGAATGCATATTTTTATCACCAACTGACTCACATTAAAGTCATAACACAAGTAAAAATTATCTCCAAAAATCTTTTGTAGGATGCACTCTGGCATAAGACTAAGTGTAATAAATAAACTTTTAAATTTATTACAGAGCAAGTTAGAGCTCAAATTAAAAAAAAAACATTAAAAACCACTATCTGGCTGGCGTAGCTCAGTGGATTGAGTGCGGGCTGTGAACCAAAGGGTCATAGGTTCGATTCCCAGTCAGGGCACATATCTGGGTTGCAGGCCAGGTCCCCATAGGGGGCGCATGACAGGCAACCACACATTGATGTTTCTCTCCCTCTCTTTCTCCTTCCCTTCCCCTCTCTATTAAAAAATAAATAAATAAATAAAATATTCTAAAAAGGTGATGGGTTGCTCAAAACAAAACAAAAAACCCCCACGTTTTATCCACTAAGTCTTCATGTCCTCATGTGTAAAAGCACATTAATTAATGTGTAATATCCCTACTAAGACTGGGAAACATCATCTGCATATTGTATTGTGTTCACCACCCCAAGTCAAGTCTCCTTCCATCACCATTTACCCCTCCTGATCCCTCTTCTATCTCCCCCACCCCTTCCCCCTGGTAATTAACACACTATTGTCTGTGTCCATGAGTTTTTTTCTCAATCCCCTCATCTTTTTTACCCAGCCCTCCAATCCCCCTCCCCTCTGACAGCTGTCAGTGTTCTCTGGATTTATGAGTCTGTTCCTATTTTGTTTGCTAGTTTATTTTGTTCATTACATCCCACACATAAGCAAAAATCATCTACAATTTTATTAGCCAGTGTCATCCCCAAAAATTCAATAAAAAAGACTGGGATACATACATATGCACAAAAATTGTTTGAAATTTTGAGAAAAAAAGAAATAAAATTAAATCTACTACTGCCTTTTCTGGTTAAGGCTGGACTGTCTAAATCAAATAATAAGTATACCACTATTTATCTAGCAAACTGGATACAAGTATTAAAGGATATGTAAACCCAGTTAGCAAATGTAAAAAAAAGTACAGTAAGAAATACGCTAAAGAGAGAATTGTAGAGCTTACAAAAAATTCTGGATGAAATACAGAGGGCCTAGAACTTGCTAGATTGGAAAATAAAACTATTCCTCATTTTCTGTCTCTCAAGCCAATAAGATTCTCAGAATTGGAACTACCCTCAGACGCAAAAAAGTGTGTGGGAGACAGGGACTAACTACAGTTAGTGGAAGCTTGGAAGCTGGTATGATGGTCTTCAAAGTGGAAAAAAGTTATGTTTATGGTTAAAAATCTTTTGTTATAGGACTGCTGACATCACAGCAAATATCACAATCATTTTAAATATAATTTTTCTTTATTGAAATCATTTAACAAAATTGTTTTTACCTTTACCCGAAGACATTTTTATGCATTGCTTTTAGAGAGAGAGAAAAGGAGAGCGAGAAATAGTGAAGGTGGGACCAAACCTGCAACCCAGGCACGTGCTCTGGCCAGGAATCAAACCTGCAGCTTTTCCATTGTGGAGCGATGCTCCCGCCAACACACAGTCCAGCTACATCCTATTAGTTTCAGGGGTGCACTCCAGAGATGAGACATTATGTAACTTGCCAAGCAATCATGTGGATAAATCTCATAAATATCACAATCTTGAGTGTCCTGTGTCTTTGCTCCTCAGGATGGTCCAGGTAAGTCCAGCTCTGGTAGAGGGCTTGCTGGGCAGGTATTTCTTTAGAGAAATGGAGAGAGAGAGATGAGATCAGGTGAGAGAGAGAGAGAAACAGAGAAACAGGCCACAGGCTCACACAGAGATGGGGTGATGGAGAACTTAGCAGAGACTGCACATCTGGGTGAATCAAACACACATGACAAAATTCCATCCCCCGTGCCCACCGCCCAGTCAGAACCTGACTCTCACCTGACCACAGGTCCTGGTGAGGGGGGCGGACGTGCAGTTGGACGTCGTGCCCGGGACCTTAAACCTCACAACAGCCTGACTCCAGGAGCCCAAGGTCTCCAGGCAGCAGTGCTGGAAGCAGGGCCAGAAAGTACAGCTGGGGGCACACAGGCGGGTCTGGTTCAAGGGCAGGACGGTCCCGTCGTGACAGCACTGCTCCAAGGGGTTGTAGAGCTCATCCCCACACCTGGGTGCTGGCTGGCACATCCATTGTTCAGTGTCTAGCGGAGTCAGAGCAGAATGGGCTCCGAGACCAGTTCAAGGCCTTTGGGGACCCCCCTCCCACCCACAGTTCCCTGTTCTTACCTGGGACTCCTTTTGAGTGTGAGCACTGGAGTCCGAAAATGAGGACAGCAACTGAGAGGCAGAAGGGGAGTGAGAATAAGGCTGGAGAGTAGCCTTCTGGTTGCTGTTATGCGGCTCAAGATAATGTTGATGAGCTTCTTTCATTGCAGGTGACAGCTCAGAGCAGATTTTGAGACTGTCTCTGGGTGGCAGGGAGGGCTCTGGGAAGAGCGAAGGTTCTGAAATTTGCAGGTTGGGGGAGAGTTTGCCGTATAGTCAGAGATACCACAGGGGTGGTTACAGAGTGGGAAGACAAGAATGAAATAGGAAAGAGAATTCAGCTTTAGTTGGTGCGGCAGAGTGGATTGAGCGCTAGCCTGTGACTGAAAAGATCTCCAGTTCGATTCCCAGTCAGGGCACAAGTCTGGGTTGCTGGCCAGGTCCCCAGTAGGGGGCGCGTGAGAGGCAACCACACATTGATGTTTCTCTTCCTCTCTTTCTCCCTCCCTTCCCCTCTCTCTAAAAATAAATAAAATAAAATCTTTTTAAAAAGGAAAGGGAATTCAGTTTGAGGTTCAGAGGTACATTAGGATGTGATAACACATCAGTGAGACTTGGGGCTGGAGACTTCTTACCGAAGATCCTGGGCACCATGGGTCTGGATTATGCTCCACAGCAGCTGATGGTGGAGCAGCTGCAGCACTTACATCCTGTGACTTTATTACATACTCACCCCTGTCACAGCAGAAGGGCAGGGCTGCCAGAATGGGAGGGGCATGAAGAGTCGTAGTTCCAATGGGCTGCCACCTTCCCAGATATGAAACCTCAGGGTAAACACTGCCTTAACACCTCTCCAAGTGATGACATGTCTCCCCATGAACACTGCTGAGGAGGAAACCCAGTGGGAAAAGATTCCTTGGCTCATCACCCACCAAATGCTGGCTCATCCTCAACATCCTATTATTCTCCACTCTGGGTGTTTCAAAGTCCCTCTAGTCCTACCCCAGACGCGCACTGCCTACAATTCTTCAGAGTCGTTTAGAGGAAATTATGAAGTTGCAGCGTGATTCAGAAGAGCAGGGGCCACAGAAACCCTGCCAGGGAGAAAGAAAAGAGAACAGATAGACATAGGATAGACCTCTGGGAATCATAACACAGAAAAGAGCGCCCTCTAGAGAACCTTGTCCAAACAAAGCCTCCACCAGTGTTTCTCACTATGATTGTGTGTTACCATCACTGTAATTGGGATGAGATAACATGTGGGTTATGATTAGGGGGACCCTCTGTCTTCTGCTGGCTTCCTCCCAGGTCACAGTGAACAGCCTGGGAAGGGGTGAGAGAGATAAAGCAGAGCCTTTAGACCATGTAGAAGCTCATGGTTCATGGACCAACTCCTTCCTCTCCCCTTTGACAGTATGTGCAATCCTTCCCCACGAGTGGTGGATGTGCACATGTGTGTGTTAGCCCTCCTCTCTTCGTTTGGCGGGTGTCTGTGAGGGCTGTTCTTTGTGTTGGCAGGTTTTCATAATGTCTCCTTCTGCCCATGCCCCTGACAGGTGTCCCACCTGTGGACTCACCTCCCACTTACCCTGCACAGCTGCTGCAAGCGCAGACCTGGAGGAACTACATTCCTGTTTGCTAAATTCATTGGCATAGCAATCATAATTCTCAACCTACAGGCTAGGAATTCCTGACTAAAACAGAAAGCCCTCGATAGACAGTGCAGCTGACTGTGAAGCAATATCATAAAGCATAATATGTGAGGAATTAGTGTTGGTGTAATTAAATTGTCTACATAAAAATTTCATGAAACTTGCAGCTAAGCCAGAAGCAAGGCTGAAAGATCAGCAGTCACAAGACAACAACCCTTTTTGGATTCAGAGAGTTTATCAGTTATGTAGGCAGAGAACATATGACTAGCCACAGGTGCCAGCCACCCGTGTCCCTTGCATAGGGTGACACTCAAGCAAAGGGGTCCAGGTGACAGCAGCAAGGATGACAGGATGCCATGTTGCTGAGTAGAGAAGGCCAGGCTGCATCTGAGCAGTTTTTATAGCTCAGCCCCACGGGGGTGGGGGAGGAGCCTCAGACCTCATCTCCATTGGCAGACAGCAAGGAGCAGTGTTCTTAGGACAGTGTCCCTGAAAGACAGGGAAGCAGTGAGAACAGCAGCTCTTCCTAAGCCTCCCAGGCTCTCCTGTCTGGGGAGTATTGGAGTGTTTCACCAAGGTGAAGGTGAAGGTGAAGGTGAAGGTGAAGGTGAAGGTGAAGGTGAAGGTGAAGGTGAAGGGTAGCTGCACCTAATCCTTGCTTATGTGCCCCATGTGGACACAAGAAAGTACCACAGAGCTAAAGCCATCGCCCTAAACCCAACAACAACAACAACAACAATAATAACAACAACAAAAGACAAACCAAACCACCAAACCTCCTGGAACTAACCATTGCAGTTGGAAAGGCTGTAGGATCAAAGTCAACGCACAAAAAAACATGTTTCTGTGCACCAGCATTAACAGTGGTAAACTAAAATTTAAAAACCAGTACCATTTACCCCTCCACTGAAATACTTATATGTATGTGTACCATAAAACATGTACATGATGCATATAAGGAAATTACAAATAACGAATGAAAGAAATGAAAGACAAACTGAATAAATGTGAGACCTTTATGTTGTGATTTGGAAGACACAGCATAAATATCAAGATGTCAATTTTCCCTAAGTTGATCTCCAGATTTAACACAATTGCAGTCAAGATCCCAGTAGGGAATCAAAAATTCCCAGTAGGAATTTTTGAAGACACAGACAAGCTAACTCAGAGGGAAAGGAGGGTAGGGGGTTGATGCAGACTGCGGCCGGTGGTGTTGTGGATGCAACGAACAAATTCACACAAACTGCAGAAGTCCTGTGGAGAAAAAGGGATGTCAGGCCACTCTCTGAGAGAGAGAGAGAGAGAGAGAGAGAGAGAGTGCACTTTGACCCTTGCCTGGACAGGCTTTTATTGCTATCTAATCAAAGGAGGTTCTCATTCATTATGCTCAGGTTTGAGGTGGTTACTTTTTCAGATAACAAAGGAAAGGATGCTACTGATTACTTCTTACAGATTAACAAGGAAAAATGTTGCAAATGCAGGGGAACAATAAGAGTGATTGGTCTGGTTACACTCTGTCCTTGGGAGAATTAGCACAGACTCAGGAAGTTACTTTAAAGACACGTAGTAAACATTTTCAGCTTCAATTCAGGATGAGGAAGTTTTAGCAAGAGCAAGACTCATAGCAGCCTGGGTATAATGCAAGCCTGGTTTCCCATGGGAAAGCTGATCCGTGGGTTTGGCTCCTGTGTGCAGACTCACACCTGTTGGTATTCCGATATGGCTGGGCTACATTTGCTGCGCCAAGTGGATCAGTTCCCTATAGGGGGTAGGTAGAGGTAGGCACTGGGGGAAATCGAGTTGGAAGGAGACTTTGCTTGGGAAGATGAGCGCGTGATGCAGTGTGCAGACGATGTTTTATTGAGTTGTCCACGTGAGAACTGTATGGCTTTGTGAGCCTATGTCACCCAATAAATGAAATAAAAATACTATTGAAAGGCGGATAAAACTACAATAGCCAAAACAATTTTGAAAAGAAAAAAAGTGTTGGAAGACTTGTTACTCAATTATAAGTGTTTCTATACAGCCACAGTAATGAGGATGGTGCAGTAATAACCAACGAATAGACACAGATCAGTAGAACAGGATTCAGACTAGAAATAGACCCACACAAATGTGGTCATTGGATTTGTGACAAGGACATAGAAGCAATTAAAGAGAGAAAATAGAGTTAGTAAATAGCAGAAGGATTAGGTATTCATATGTCAAGGGGAAAAAGAATCTACACTATACCTCCCATTTTATATAAAATTTAACTAAAAATGGATGTAAAACCTAAAACCTAAAATTTAACTAAAAACTAAATGTAAAACCTAAAACCATAGGTCTTCTAGAAAAAACACTGGAGAAAATATTAGTGGCCTGGAGCATGACATCAGAAACACGATGCACAATGGAAAACATCAATGAATTGCACTTTGGCAAGATTTAAAACTTTGGGGGAAAATATTTGCACATCACATACATGACATAGAACTTGTATCCTGATTATACAGCTATATGAAAGGTAGATATTCAGGATATACGAGAACATGAAAAGCTCTCAAAAGTAAACAGTAAGAGCCCTGGTGGGATTGCTCAGTTGGTTGGAATGTCCTCCCTTACATCAGAGGTCGTGAGTTCAGTCCCTGGTCTGGGTGTGTAGGGTAGGCAACCTGTCGATGTTTCTCTCTGTCTCTCTCTCTCTCCGCCTCTCCCTCCCCCTCCCCCTCTCCCTTTCCCTCTACTTCTCTCTTAAAATCAGTAGATACGTCCTCACGTGAGGATTTAAGGAAAAAGTAAACAGCAAGCAAACAAAGAATGAGGACAGACGGGGAAAGGATGAGCAGCACTTTACAAAGAGGAAGCACAGATGGCAGACAAGCTCTGGAAAAGATGCCCAAGGTCATTATCCATTAGGGACCTGCAACTAGATGGGACCACAGGGAAATCACCTCCCATCTAGGAGAGGTTAAAACAAACAGTATACAGACAGTACTAAGTATTGACAAAGATGCCGAGAAACCAGATCTCCCACACATTACTGGAGGACATGCAAAGTGGTCCAGCAGTCTGGAAAACACTTTTGCAATTGCTTATAAAACTGAATAGTCACTTACCCTATGACTTGGCATTTACACTCTTAGGCATTTATCCCAGAGAAGCAAAAACCTTATGGTCTGACATGAAAATTACATGAATGCTTACAACTGTTTTATTTGTAATAGCTCCAAACTGGAAACAACCCTAATGTCCATCAGTAGGTGAGTTGGTGGATGAGTTGTGAGAAATTTCCTGACAATGGAACACTGCTCAGAACAGAAGCAAGGAACCACTGATGCGCCTAATGGGGTGGCTGGGTTGCAGAGGCAGCATGTCTGAGAGAAGCTGGTCTCAGAGATTACATACGAGTCACTCCGTTCAGGCAACATCTGGGAAAAAGTATGAAGGTGGTGAATGCATTGTTGTTGCCAGAAGTTAGGTGTGGGGGGAAGGTGTGACCACAAAGGGGCTTCGTGAGGGCTTTGTGTGTGTGTGGGGCGGGGGAGAAACTGTTCTGAGAAGAGACAATAACTCTAGTGCTGACAGACCAGAGGGACTTTGGAAACGTGGAGGATTGTTATTGGTGGCAGTGGTCACTCCACACCTTCTGCCTAGAAACCTCACACACCAGTGCATTTGTGAAGTTAAATTACATTGTCTTCATTTTGCAAAGTACAGATCTTCTTTACTATGTAATTTGTATTATGAATATATTTGGTAGGTGGAGTTGACTAGACTAAGCCAAGAAACGTAACCTGAACCAAAACTGTTGACACGTACAAGGGTGGGGACTGGGAGGTTGGCCAGGAATTCAGGGTGGAGGGAAGTGAGTCCTGTGTCAGCCTCTCCCCTGACTGGATGGAGTCGGGCTTGTCTGTACCTGGTGAGCTTTATCCCTCATCTTCCCTGCCACTCCCTGAGCGGTTGGCATGGCGTGGGTCCCACTGGGGCACCTGTCATACCTGGTGGCACTAGTCACTC